TTGCCTCTGTACGGGCCTTGGCGTTGTCCGCCTTTACTTTCTCAGCTGCCCCCTTCTCTTCTTTGTCCTTCCTGGCCTTGGCAAGGTGTTCTTCGGCGGACAGGAGACCGCCCTCGGGCTTCCCCCCGCCCGCCCGAATGGTCGCGAAAGACTGGAGCGCTTGGTGAGGCGGGTGAGCNGCCGTTCCGCCCGCCGCCCTGCCCAATATTGGCCGCTCTCGCTGCCGTTGCCTCTGTACGGGCCTTGGCGTTGTCCGCCTTTACTTTCTCAGCTGCCCCCTTCTCTTCTTTGTCCTTCCTGGCCTTGGCAAGGTGTTCTTCGGCGGACAGGAGACCGCCCTCGGGCTTCCCCCCGCCCGCCCGAATGGTCGCGAAAGACTGGAGCGCTTGGTGAGGCGGGTGAGCCCGCCGAGGAACACGGTGTTCACGCGGAGCCCCTCGATCATCACTCCCTCTTTCGTTTCAGCTCCAGGAGGGCAGCGTGGCCGAGATCTTCTTCGAGCTGCTTCTTGGAGGCAACGACGGCAAGGCCTTCAGGGATAGGGCGGTCAACCTCCCGTTGCTTCCTCTTTCTTGCTGTCTGTGCAGTCGGTTGATGGCCTTCTCTATGTTCACCGGCCACAAGCCCGCCCCTTTGAACGCCGCCATATTGCTCGCAAGCGTGAAGCTCCCTCTCCATGCCTCCGCAATCACGCCAGCCATGTCGCGCTTCACCGGACGGACTCCTCCCCCCGATTTTCAGTGGGTACGCCTGAGCACCCTGTGGAGCTCCTTCTTGAAGGTTCCAAACGTACCAACGTCCAAGGGCTGGGTGATGTGCGATGTGCGGGACGGGAGCTGGAAGGGGTCCATGTCCAGAGAGATGGCCAAGCTAATGGCGTCGAAGGTCGTGTGCGAGGCGTGGCCGTCGAGCACAACAAGGAAGGGCAACTTTTCCCTGCAAGCCGCGTGCATCGAGCTGTTCGCGGAGGTCTCGAGGGTAGTCGAGGAACACGTGGGTCTGGATGAAGGATGACTCCGTGACGGTGTACTTCGCATCGGGGACGCCGTTCTTGTCCTGCATCCATCGGGTTGCATACGCTGGCCTTTGTAGATGATGATAGGGTTGTAGGTGTGGCCGTCGGCGCCGATGCTGGCGACCACCGTCGTATTTTCTCGCGAGTTGGAGCGCCTCGCGCCGGGCACCTTGGTGCCGGTTGGCACGATAGCCTTCCCCGACTTTGTACCTTGCGGGGTGGAACCTACAACATACACGGGAGAACGTGCGTGCATCGGGGGTGGAGGCAGTCGAACAATCAGTAAAGTACACATAATTTCGCAGCAGCAGCTCTCGCACACACATAAAAGCGCGCTTACACACGCACATGACGAGCGCAGCTCGCACTGGGAGGCGGCACAAAGCGGCGGTGACGGGACCATTTTTTTCTTCGACAGCAGTCGAATTCGTATAGACTTTGGGTGGGTGTGGATCAACAACCCCACACCCATGAAAGTTTACATTGAGCTCGAAACTAAGCTGGGTTTACAAAAGCAAAGCGTCCTACTGAAGAGTCTCGACTTGACTGCACTTCGCACAGCATTGGCAACCCACGTGCATACGGACCAACAACGAACGCACACGACCCCTGTCGCGTGTTGCACACACAACAAAAATACCGTGTGTGTAGAATATCGTACATAACTAGAGGTATCTGTAACTGAGATGACTCAAGGTATTGTCGCGTGCGTGGACCCCCTCAAGAGATTTCAGCATTATACCATATAAGGGTGGCAAAACAGCAGCAGGCTCGGAAAGATATGCGGAACAACTAAACGCTGATATTATTCTATTTGCCATGACACACCACATATCGCAGTGTTGCTGGTGCTTCGCCTTCGCGCCAGCGGCCGATACTGCCACCACTAGGGTCACAACCTTTGTTAGGTACGAACGTGTCCGTACATACATAAATATTTCAGGGAACCTGGGCGAAGCTCGACAGCTTTGCGTGTAATCGAGAGAATGACATTATAGTTTTGCTCGAGAACAAATCTCGGATCGCTTGCACCATGAGGGCGAGAGGGCAATGATATGTATATACCCTTGTTGCGTACACTGCAACAAGCACAAGGGTTCCGCGGCGGTGCCACCACTTTTCAGCGGGCCGTTCAAAACCATTCATATTTTTTGATACCACCAAGGGCGCCTTCCTCACAAGAGTGTGTAACTCCGTATCTCGTCGAGTTTCCGTCGGTAGGAAAAAAAATAACCGGTTCTAGGGCGCCTTCCGACAGAAGATTCCATTTCCGGCATCAACAAAAAAAAAAAAGAAGGTTTCGCGCCACCTTTGGACGAAAATAAATGCGGCGGGATCCATTTCACAGGGAAGATCAACTCGGAGCCAAGCGTGCACCTCGCCAATCGACTCCGCTTGGTCGAATTACCCACAAAGGAACTCACTGCAGGGTCTCCCGACCCCACCCCGACGAGATACTGCTCTTTCCCTTTCCGTCTCCTGGACGGTGGCGGCTGCTGCCACCATGCTGAGGCGCGATGTCAAAATTGCGGGAGAAGCGAGGGTCATCAGGCACAGATGGCGCACGCACCCCAGGGGCTATCACCTGACCTCCACGCTGCTGAAGAAGGGCACTGAGACTGCGGCTACCAAGGCAATAGGCTCTGTGGTGGATAACCTC